GTGAAGAATATTCTTGTATTATTCAAATTTCCTTTCCATTTCAAAGGAAATGATCACTTGCAGAATTTGTTCTTTGTAATTAGAATTGTTAAATCTAACTATTATGTGTCTTGGAGTTTGAAGCATAAATTTTTTGTTTTTCCTATTTTTGTTTGTTTTGTTTCTGGAGGTTATGTGGGGATTCTTTGAATTGGTGGTTTGTATTCCATATGCTTAAGTTGTCTCTACACTTCACTTCTTTGAGATCAATGAGTTTTGTTTTATAGCAATGACCGTTCTTTTAATGTTATACCTTTTTTGCTTCCTTTCTTCCAGGCTGTCCTTCACTTTCATGTATTTGTATTCCTATTCCATTCTCTCTTTTGCTTATTTGGAGAGACTTGCCACTATGTATTCAAGTTTTTCTAATATGGACATTATTTCTTCTGTACAGACCATCATTTCTACCATTTGTTCCCTTCTGACTTCTTTCAAAATTCTGATTTCTCCCTTGAACCATCCTGAAAAATCCTGTTGCAGTTTCATCATCCCTTTGATTCCATAGGCTTCTGTGTTTTGGCAAATGTTGGTTCAACTTCTTTTGTCTTTGAATACTTTTTTTTAAGAGAAATTTGGAATCTTTTGGTTGTTTCGTTATTCATATTCCCTTCCAATTTTAGTATCTGGTTGGTTGTTTTATTCGCTTGTTCTAGGTTTTTTAATTAATTTGTTTCCTTTTTGAGATCTTCAGCTTTTTTAGACTCCCCCCCCCCAATTTTACTGTTGCTCACTTTCTGACTTCTCCATCTTTGATGCTGGGTTTACCCCAGGGGCTAGATCTCAAAGCTGTTTTGCCCTCCTCATCTATTTGACTGGCCTTGTTCCAGTTTCTTCTAATTAGTTCTCTGGCTGTGTTCAATCAATATTTGCACCTTTTTGTAGGATTGGGAGAGGATTGTCCTGGCAGATCCTCTGAAACTTTGGGATTATCTAATCTAAGGGGGCCACTCTAGACAAAAAGATATTTTAATTATGTTCTCCCTTCCATGAATGATTGAGCAGAATTGAGGTCAGATGTTTATCGCAGCATGATTATGGGGGGCAAGGGCATGTGCTAGACTATTTGTGCCCAACTTATGGTAAAGCCTTTCAAGCTGATATTGGTCTGATCAGACATAGTTGAAAACACTGTTTTGACTCTGACATTGTGATGTCATTTTCACATGTAGTAGCAGGGAAATCCAAAGCATAAGCGAATGAATTTGTTTTGTGCCTCCCTAAGGCATGGAAATTAGTAGGGGAAGTTAATTTATATGGCTATTACCTTGTAAAGCTTATTATTTTACTTTCCTATAGCAACTGTAATTGTTTTGTCTCCAATACAGCATAGTAGCATTTTTTTTTTGAGATAGTGGAGACTGGAACAAATGCCTAGGCCTCCATCTTATTCATCACATGACCTTCACAAAATGTTCATTGAACCCAGATCCTTTGACTCTAAATGCAGTGCTTTTCCCATTATAACTTATTATCACTGTTGATTTCTGAGACAGACTAACCATTACTGACACATGGGATGAAGTGGGATTAACATTGACGAACACTGCAAAAAACAGAGTCTTTCAACTAATTCACTACAAACAAGGAGAAACTAGGGATACAGTTTGGTAAAGGGCAAAAGAATGAAAATGGGGACTGGTTCATTTTAGGATCTTATCCTTTCCCTCATTATTTTATCTTTAAATTAGCTGAACTTTTATACAGTAGAAAAGTCTCTTTTATACAGCAGGTATTTAATTGGCATTTACCCATGAAGTAAATGAAAATCAGGTTGCTAAAGTCCTAAGAGAGTAGAGGTTCTCAAACTTATTTGGCCATTAAAAAAAAAATTACTCAGCACCCACCTGGAAATTTCCTTTCTTTAACCCTTTAATGATTTTTTTAAAAAATTATGTCATTTCAAAAAATATATAAAATATTTTTAAATGATGCATCTTAAATTTAATAATTTATTGCAAATTTGTGGTTTTTTCCAGCATTGAAATTTTGATAACACAATATTGCATCATATAACTATATAGTATCATATTGTAAACAAATCATTACATGCACATAATCCTGCCGATGCATGCTGGACTTCTCAACAATGCACAACATGCTCACCTGCCAACACTTGGTAGTTAAGACTTGTTGGTGGACTTGACCCCTGATCAGTTATAACTTGTATTTTGTGTGTTTATTTGGAAAACAATGTAATTACTAAGACTTTAACTCTGTCACGCAATAGATGAAACATGTATGAATGGATTTTCAAATTTTTCTTATCTTCTCTTCTTCCCTTATGCTTCCACCACCCTCTTATCTTTATTCAATGCCCCCCAATTGCACCAAAGGCTTTTATGGCTACAGCCCCCTGGATCGTTCCAATAAGCCCACCATCCACCAATAAGTCCCACTATCATCCACTTTGGGAACCTATATAAAAGAGTGGTAGAGGGAGTAAAGTGCCTCTTGTCAAAAAGTGAGGTGCAGTAGTCAGCAGAGAAAAAAAACCTGAAAAATTTTAAATTATGAATTTTAAAGGATTCATAAAATATTTGCTATGAGATATTTAGTTACCCATGATTTCATTTCTAAAAATAATTTCTAAAAATTATGCAATAAAAACATTGTTATTTCTGTATAATGCAGATAACCAGTATGATGCAACTTTTCAAGAGCAAAATGATATTGAATTAAAAGGTAATTCAATGAAGTCCCTCTTATTTATTTGCTCTCTGGGATAGTTGTTCTTTTTCAACAGGGTGATGTCTTGACTTTCCTGTGAACAGGTTTTAAGTGAAGCTTCACTCTCTCCTTCAGAGTCAGGGAAGTCCAGTAGCAAGATGAAAGTCAAGATGACTAGCCAGGGCCCCAATGCAGTGGGTAACCTTGGCCTTTCTAAATTAAGGTCTTTCCCAGGCCTCAGTTTGTTTGAGGCAATGCATTTTCAATGACTAAGGGCTAGATAAGAATTGAGACAAAAGAGGGCCTAATTTACCATCACAAAATATCAATCTAGGAGGGGATGGTTGTCATGTTCTTGTCCTAATTTGTAATTATTGTTTCAAATGAACTAAACTTTAATATCTCAAAATAATGATAATTTTGTGAGCAATGTTGCACAAAACATATTTTCATGTTCTTACAGCAATCTTATAGCAATATAAAAGACTCCATTCAGTTTGACAAATATGCAAGGCATTGACGATAAAAACAACAAAAAAACCCCCCAACACTTTTGCCCTTAAGGAATTTCTATTCAATTAGGAGATTTACATTACCTACAGATATAAGTAAATAGGAAGGAGAGATTATTTGAATGTACAAGGGGTAAGTAAAAGCTCAAATATAAGGTGGTACCTAAATTTGAATGAAGCCAAGGAATCTAAGAGATAAGAGTTAGGAAGTGAATTCATTCCATGCAAGAAGGGCAAACTATAAAAAGGTAGACCAAAGATGGAATGCCCAGATCCAGTTGGAGAACAGGTATTAGGAATGAAGAGAGGAAGTGGGATGAAATGTCTGGAAAGGCAGATAGGACCCAGATTGTGTTGGGCTTTAAATGGGCAGCCTGATTTTTATATATAGAAGCAGGGAGAGTCTTTAGCGTGTTTCTGCAGAAATCAATTTGTGAAGTAAAGAGGACCTGGGAATGGGAATTGGATGGGAGCTGTACCAGTGGAAGAAGGGTATAAATAGGAGAGATGGAATGAATAAGACCTGGCAAGTGATGAAATGTGGAGGGTGAGGAAATGAGCACAATTAAGGAACCTGGGTAACACTGTGGCCCTTAGGAGAAATATGCAAATTGAAAAAAGGAACGAGATTTGCAAGATAAAGAATTCCATTTCAGAGAATAATAGATAGCATTTCTATGGCGCTTTAAGGTCTGCAAAGCACTTCACATATCTTAATTTCTTACCAGTCTGTACTCCAGGATCTATTATTCTCCAGAAATCTCTTTTCCTGAAAGATCATGGCAGCCCCAGAATGCACACACTGGAAATATCCCCTAGCTCCGTGGCCCTTCCCTCTGATTGGATAGATCCTCCCAGGACCTCTCATTTAAGAAGAGCACCCAGGACAGCTCTGTGTTCCCTTCTTCTCCCATACTTCGCTACCTGCACCCGGGGTTGGTACCTTCATCCCCTTCATCTCGCCCTCCCCTTTCAGCTTCCTTGTGTTTACTGTCTTGCCCCCATTAGAAGGTAAGCTCCCTGAGGGCAAAGGCTGGTTTTTCTCTTTGTATTTGAATATTCCCAGATTTAGCATCCGCTCTGGCATATAGTAATATAATTTAATAAATGCTTATCGATTGACTGGCTGATAGAAAAGTGTGTAGCTTGAGAGATGCCTCCAGGGACATCCAGATGGATGACCAGCCGGCAGTTAGTGACTGGGAGGTGGTGCTCAGGCGAAATTAAGATGGAATTTTTTCACTTTTTTCAAATGTTCCCCAAATTACCATTTTTTTCTTCCAACCATACTTGAAGATGTCTCAGAAATGCTTGGTGGCCCCCCCAGCGCGGGAAACGCCCACCCCACCTCGGAACGCGTCCGGCCAGCGCAGTTCGGTGCGCGCGTGCGCGATAAGTCCTCCTCCTCCTCCTCCTCCTCCTCCTTCTCCTCCTCCCGCCCCCTCCCGCTCCGCCCACCGATCTTCCCAGTCGGGGCTTGGCCGCACCCACGCCCGCGGCTGGGCTCCGCTTCTTCCTCCCTTCCTCCTTCAAGCTCGGCTCAGGGCCCCGCCCTCCGTGGCGGGGGGCGGGGGAGGGCGCTCCTCCTCAGTTCCTCCGGCAGCCGACTCTGCGGCTGCTCTTCCGGGTCGAGGTCTGGTGGGGCTGGGCTGGGCTGGGCTGGGCTGGGCAGGGAGCTACGTCTCGTCTCTGCCGGCGTCGTGTCGGCGTTGCCCCGGTTCTCTCGGTTTGAGGACTCCGCGCGGTTGCCACCGTCGGGCTCCTATTTTGGGCGGCCGCGTCGGCGTTCCTTGAGCAGGGCCGGGGTGAGGAGCCGCGGCTCGGGGGAGGAGGCGGAGGAGGAGCCGTGTGCCGGGGGCACGGAGCGGCCTCGGCCATGGCGTACGCCTATCTCTTCAAGTACATCATCATCGGCGACACAGGTGAGTCTCCCGGCGACGGGTGGGCCGCGGCCCCTGGAGCCCCCCGGGCCGCGGGGCCGAGCGCGATTGGTGGCGGGTGCCTCCCTCCCCCCTCCTTCTGCCTCTTCCTCTCCCCTCCTCCCTCCGCGGCTTCATTTCCGCAGTGCTGGAGCCGGTGACGTGGGCACTGTGAGCGGTCTCTGCGGCCTGGCCCGGCCTGGACAGCCGGGCCCCCGCCCTGTCCAGTCCCAGCCGCACCGCGCAACGGGCCCGGGCCCCGGCCCCGGAAGGAGGCCGCGGCGGCCACGTGTGACCCGGAGGCGGCTGCCGCGGGTTTGGGCCGGGCCGACATCGCCCGGAGCCCCCACTCTTCTCTCCTCCAGCCCCTACCCCGGCCTAGGGGCAGTAGAGAGGCCGAGACTGGCCCGGGCTGGAAGCTGTTGGCCGCTTGGGCATTTTTTGTAGGAGAAAATAATTTTCTGTGGCTTTAATAATTAGGTCCAGGCCTGCTGCTGCCGTTCCCAGGCCGGGAAGGCTTTGGAGCTGCCTCTGCGAAAAGGGAGTGAAATAGCCTTTTACCCGTATCTTGCGTGAGGCCGAAGTGGTTTTGATTTTAGGACCCTGGAAAAACCTTTTGAAGTCACCCGAGTGTCCAACTGGGTCCTGAACAGCTTTCCTAGGTGCTGGCAAGTTAACCGCAAACAGTCGCCGCTGCCAGTTGTAGTTTTTTGTTATTTTGTATATCAGTCATATTAACGTGTAACAGGAATACTAGGATTTAGGAAATGCACCATATCTTAGGTATTTAATCCAGTTATAGGTTTTTTTTTAAAGTTTTTACATATCAATCATATTAATGTGTGATATTGGAATACTAGGATTTGGGAAACATACCATGTCTTAGCTATTTAAGCCAGTCCAATTCTAATTCAGAGACTCAATAAAATTCTGGTGGCACCCTGTCACCGTAGGAACAAATAGAAAATCCTGTCTGTGTTTAAAGCCTTTAATAACAGGCCAACCACCTACCTTTCTAGTTTTCTTACATCTTACTCTCTACTCCCCCAACCCCCATTACTCTGCTGTTTAGTGACACAGGCCTCCTTGCTGTTTGTTGGACAAGACACTCCATCTTCCTACTCCAGGCATTTTTCACTTAGCTGTCTCTTGGCTTGAATTCTTTCTTTCCTTATCTTTGTTCCATGGCTTCAAGTTCCATTTAAAATCTCACCTTCTGCTGGAAGCTTTTGCTGATCCATTTCAGTGCTATTGCATTAAGAATCCCCAATTCATCCTGTATAGATTTTGTTGATAGATAGTTGTTTGTATGCTGCCTTCCTCATTAGACTGAGTGCCTGCAAGGCAGAGAGTAAGTTTTTTGTTTTGTTTTGTTTTTTGCCTTCCTTTATATCGTAGATGCTTAATATGTTTGTTGACTATTAAGTCCTTGCTGTGTGTAAGCTGTTGTTGCTGTACTACCAAAGAAAAAAGTTCCTGCCCTTAAAGAACTTAGGTTCTCTTGGCCTGACCCAGAAGGTAATTTATGGGAGACCAAACTTGCTTTTGAAGCAGCTAGAAACTTAGAAAGTATTCTGAAAATTATACCTCAGGATTTGTTAGATTTATTGTATCTGAAATCAGTTCACTTAATACTTTTTGTTTTGGTATTGCTTTGAATCTAATAATAAAACAGCCTTGTTCAGGTGTTAGTTAACTTGGTGTTACAACTTCAACTATTAATATACCAGAGTCTGATTTCAGTGGTGACTCTTGCACAACTTTGGACATATTTTTGCAGCTGCTCTTGGTGCATTGTTGATGTGGCAGTACTTAATAGTAAATTCACCAAAATCACTTAATTGAATAACAAGAAGCACTAAAATACTGGTAGAATCCTTAAGTTTTTAAGGGGTATGGGAAATAAATTGTTGTCAGTTTAATATGCTAGATAATTCAGTTTCCTGGATTTTTTAATTTGGTAACACCTACAAGGTTCCAAATTTGCTATGGCACACCTGAGCGTGGGAGGGGCAGAGCTTAGGCTGTCAACCAAAAATAGTCTGCCCTAGTGGACAGGGATAAGAACTAGAAAGGTGAGAAGTCTTTGAAAATAACATTTTAGGTAACCAAGCAATGAAGAGAGTAGAGAGAGATAGTCATGTGGTTGCCCTTGGAGAAAGGGATCTATCATTTGTTGTGAGTTGAACTTATCCAAAGCAGCCCCAAGCACCCTGTTTATTCCCACCAAAATCTTGGTCATTTAGCTATTAAAGTTATGTGATTTTCATAAAGGGCAGGTCTCATTGTGTCACTCTGAATCAATAAACTTCAGTGGTCACCTGTTCCCTTTAGGATCAATTTAAACTCTATGTGGCTTTTAAAGCCCTTCACAGCCCTGGCCTTACATACCTTTTGAACCTTGTTTGTGCATTATTCCCTTTCCAGCACCCTGCAATTCAGTCAAGTTTCTGCAGTCTTACCTTTGTTTTTTTCACTTCCACTAAGTGCCCCTTTTTCTGCATGAGAACTTTCCCTACCTGCTCTAGTGCTACCCCTTTTTCCTAGCATTACTTTGTGTGTATATAGCATGGTATGGTGGTAAAAAACAAGTTCAGATTTCACCTCTGACATACTTTCTATGTGACCTTAAAAAAGTCACTTAACTTCTCAGTTCCCTATGGTTAACTTTCTAAGACTAAGTTGCAAAGGTGTTAGTCTTCGTCGATCAAGGGAGTTTTCTCTCCAGATTCCTTGTACCAGTGAAAGAAATCAAAGGTGTAGCCCCTATCCCTTTTCCATATATATGCTATCTTCTCTGGTAGAATATAAAGTACTTGAGAGTAAAGAGCATTTTATTTTAGCTTTTGTGTCCCCCAGAGCCTAGCATAATGTCTGGCGCTATAAACCCTTAATACTTACTGATTATGCACGCCCAGACTATTGCTGGTGTTGCAGTTAGCAAGCATTTAGTGTTTAATATGTGCCAGGCAGTGTCCTAGGTGCTGTCTACACAAAGGCTTCAGCATTTAGGTTCCTTCTGTGTGTAGACTGCTATGGTAGGGCACTGGGAAGTTGCAATCCACCTTAGTCTTGTAGGTCTTGCTTATTGAATAAAAAGTAAAAAAAACTCCTTAGCTTGGTTCCTCCTTAGCTGCCTCCAGCTAGTTGTATCTTTCCAGCCTTATTGATGTCTTACCGTCCCAGGAGAAACACTATACTTTAGACAGTCTGATCCACTCCTGATGCCACTCCTTGAACAAAGATTGTACTTTAATGTCCTATGTACCTTTGTTCCTTCAAGAAATCTTACCACTATCTAGAATCACTATTGTAAAAGTTAAGTCATATATTACCTATGAACATTTCCTCTACATTCCTATACCACTTAGTTTGCACAACTTATAGGTATTTCATAAGAACAGAGATTTTTGTTGTTGTTGTTGTTTAGGCAATTGGGGTTAAGTGACTTGCCGAGGGTCACACAGCTAGTGTCAAGTGTTTGGTCTGAGGCCAGATTTGAACTCAGGTCCTCCTGACTTCGGGGTCAGTGCTGTATCCACTGTGCCACCTAGATGCCCCAGAACAGAGACTTAGATCTTGAAGGGACCTTATGGATCTAGTCCAAATCTAAAGATTAAATGACTTCCCCAGGGTCACATAAGTAGTAAGTAGGAAAGCCAGGATTAGAATTCAGACTGATTCCAAATGTATTTCTTTCCATTTGTACCGTGCTCCATCAGTTAGCTAGCCTTTATTAAGTTCCTACTACTTGCCAAGTACTCTTAAGTGCCAAGAATCCAAATTCAAGTAGAGAGCTCATGCTCTCTCTACTTTAAGATCCTTATGGATGAAGAACCTTGGTTGTGATAGAGGAAGCCCTGGATTAAGGCTGGAAAGGAATGCTTCTTCCACATACTGCCTTGTATTGTAAGCATTTGTGGAGGTGTTTTTTCTCCTCCTTCTGTATTGTAAACTCCTTGATGAAAGGGACTTTTTTCATATTATACTCCATTGGGTGCCTACCACAATTCTGCTCACATACGTGCTCAACAAATACTTTTTTGAATTATAATAGGAGCAAGGAATGCATACGGTAGCAATCTGTGAAAAGAGAAGATACAGCCTGAGTTTCAGAGAAGTTGAGCTTGCCACTATATACCAGTTCTTTGGTAGTACTGTTCAAAAAACATTGTAGAACAGTCCCTGTTCTGCTTCTGACTTAACGGTGTCTGTATTCACTAATTTTTTTTCCACTAATTTCTTAATGCCCAGTTTCCTCATCGATAAAAGTAGGTTTCCTCTTCCCATTTTTCTGTACTTTTCATAAACATTATGTAATTATTTTATTAACTTTCCTTCAGAAGGTAAAATAAAATAATTTAAAGTATACCAAGTATTTTTAATCAGGATAGTTGATTAGATAATAGAATCAAACTATTTATGGTAGTGAAACATTCTTGGTCTGTGTTCACAATGCAGCACCTCAGGTTTTAGCTGTCCTTATTTCTCCTGAAAACATTTTAGGAAAATACAAGTGAATAGACTTGGCATCTGGAACACCTGGGTTAAATTGGCTTAGGCCCTTATCTAGTCACTTAACTTTTTAATGTGCCCCAGGCAAAGTAATGGGAGCTTTCAAAGCAAGAATTCCCTTCACCAACTAAATAATATAACATATATATGCAGAGTTGAAATTTTTATCCTCTGAAACTTAGGTTTTCAGGTGCAGAGAAATAGAAAAATTTGTGGCAACCTAGAATTTGTCCTCCTTGATGCAAAGAAGGGAAATCTGATGTGTTGTATTCTTTCTTAAAATAAATTTTTATTGATGTCTTTTTTTAAAAACATTGCCATAGTTTTTCCTCATATCTTTCCCCCCTCCCAGAAAGCCATCCCATAGAAAAATAGTATTCAAAACAAGAAAGGGAAAAATTAGCCTAAGGGATCAATTTTTGAAAAAGTCTAAAAATATATGCAATGTGCTATACTTGTGAATTTCTCATATCTGCAGACTGGGTGGG